AAAATGACGATTTACCTCTATGGCAAGGTCCAGCTGTAAACAAAAAGCCGCCATTTTTTAATGCGCACGCACTAATCATGCGTGAAATTATGCGCAGTAAGGATGCGCAATGCAATACTGGGGAATGACCTTAAATAAGCAGTGGCCACTTAATAGAGGTTTGACTGCGTAAAGGTTTTCAGACATAGTCTAGTACTTATTTTGGATTCTTCTGTTTCCTTCTCTTTCTTATGACAGTTTTAAAACCTACTCAACAGCTGCAGCAGCAGTTACTCAATTTTCTTCAACAAACCTTGTGAGTCTCCTTGGCAATGTTGATGTTCGTAGTCTCAGTGCTGCGTCATCAGGTTCTCTTACAGAAGCTGGTGGAGAAGAAGATGACGAGCAAAACTGTCCGCAGTCTTCAAGAAGTATGTTGAAGTAGAAGGATTTTCTAATATTTGGTTTATTAAATCTGCTGTTGAAATTGCCTCACTTTCAGGCAAGCACGTGATGTGTAAACCAGTTTATCTTTTGTAACACGAGGTTGAATAGGAGTTGTCCAAAGTTCTTAACGAGTCAAGTCAATAGTCGAGAGAAGTCGAGTTTATTTTAAAGAAATGATGAGTCAAACGTTCATTTTACAGTAACTGTCTAATTTCTCGCACACTGATTGGCTCATTTTTATCACCAATAAGAGTACAGATGGATACAATTTTAATTTATGCAAACTTTCAAGTTCAATTTTCAGCTGTCAAACTGTCAACTTTTTTAACCAATGAGATTTTATGGACTTTTTAAGTAGCCAATCAAAGAGCGAGAAAAGCTATTGNTTTGTAATGTTAGCTTGAGGTTTAACAAGCTGCTAGCACATTAAGACTAGTGTTCATCATCATCTCAGATTTTGAATGTTTAATATGACTTGCTTTCTTTTGAAGGGGGAAGCCAATTTAAGATCACTTTGAATGATACAATACTTATCAATAGAATTGACGCAGAAACTGGAGACAGAATACGCATTGAAAAAGTAAGTTTGGTTGAATGCTTCTTTGGTTTTGACAATAGCTGATTGTTGCCTGCCAAAGTGAATGTTGGAGTGTTGCCTGTATTTACCCAGCTGATAAAATAATACAGTGAAGACATGACCATTCCAAATGACAGGAAAGTTGAATGGTATACAACTCTGAACTGAAGGAAATAAAAGCAACTACACTGGATGTTCCACTGGGAATGGACAGGGACAAATAAAGGATCAGAGATCGCAAACAATATCAAAATAGTATATCTCGAAGATGTTACAGAGAGAGCTGCTCTGGTAATTTGAGGTGAAATAAAGTTTACGTACAATGTACATGTATATACATGTATGTACCGGTATGTATCAGATTTATCGAAGAAGAGAGAAAGGTAGTTTTAAGAATACTAGCACTCACTGATCATCTCACTTGGCTTCGGAGCTGTCGGTAAGCTTGTTTGCATGTGGTAATGAATTCATGTATACAAAGTTGTTGTTGTATTTATTTCACAGGTTTTGTTGGTTGGGGGAGAAAATTTTACTGTGGTGGGAACTCCACTAGTTGCGTAAGTGATTGGTGTATGAGATATTCTTAAAATTACTACTTTGTATTAAATTGTAGTAGGATGGATGCCAACAAGAAATTTAATTATTTTCTTCTCCTTCAGAAGTGCCAGCTTTTTCATAGCACACAAATTCCTAGTATTTTCTTCATGTTATTCTGCAATTTCAAATCATCATTATAAGACTTCATTTTTGGCAGTGGCTACATTGTCCTTTGCACATCTTGCATGCCTATGCTGCCGTGTGTTCATTTTGGCCTCAGCTTTATTTCTGTTTGTCTGGCAGAATTCATATTTATCTTATACAGTCTATTCAAATCTTGACCAGTCTTTTTTGGCTCCCTCATACAAAGTACTAAAACGTTTGTCAGACACATGTAAACGACAACTTTTATTTATTTATTTATTTATTTATTTATTTTTTATTTTTTTTTTTTTTTATTATTATTATTTTTTTTTAATTTTATTTTTTTTTTATTTTTCTACTGACAGACGAGACCTAGTGAGGGTTGAAGCAACTGTTTTGGAGAAAACCAAAGGACCAAAAAAGATTGTGTTTAAAATGAAAAGGAGAAAGGGTTACAGAAAATGGAAAGGTATGTACACAATGTAACTTAATGAAGACACAATTTCTGGTTTTCTTGTGGTATCAGAAGACCTGGTTTACTCCTGTCACTGGTTTATTTCCCAAGTAGGGTATAATTATACTTTATTACATGGCTTGTATTTCTAGCCAATGTAATGCACCAGGGCGCTCTGATTGGACAGTTCTAGGACATAATTCTCCCGTAATGCCCACAGGCTGATTACGGGCCTGTTAAAATAAGAGCAAGAAGCCATATAATAAACAACTTATTAGCCTCAAACGTTCGGTCTTTACAGAGAAATCCCAGACGTCAGCCTTGCCGTATTGACCTTGCTATCACTCAGTCAATACGGCGAGGTCTGGATTTGAGATTCCTGTTAAGACCTCACTCTCGGTGGATAAGTAGTTAGTGTTAATTGTATCATACAGGACTCTCAAGTCTGATGTTAGCAGTGATATCATTTACATCATTTTCCAGAACACTACCAAGACATCACAGTGCTAAGAATAAACAGCATTCAAGTCCAACCTTCTCTTCTGAGCTCTGCTCCATGAGCATCTGTCACTACTGTGAGCTGAGTGAAGCAAGAGCAACACAATAACACAAGCTTTACAGTTGTATTAAAGCTTCCATCTTCATCTTTAAAACCAACACTTCTGAGCTAGCTTGTGATTTGTTCTGCCTTGTGTGATAAAAAGCACCAGGTGGACATCAAATGATAAGTTCTCCAAAAAGCAATGAGCTAGTGTCAGAGTAGTGCTTTGTTTTTAATCCTTCGACCCCTGTGATGAGCAAAACAGTTAGCAAACAGGAATAATTCCTTGTAAAGACATTCAACCGAGACCTGTAATTCGTATTGAAAGCAGTAAAGGGGAAGTTCATCTGTTTCTTTATTTGGCTTATTTTGCAATTATCAAGTGTCCAGCTCTTTGACCCTTTTTTCTTCCTTTAAAATAAAATAAAAGAGACCAAAACTAAAACAGTGTTGTGAAAGAGATTGGGATTTGACTCACAAAACGTGTTTATATTAGAAAACTAGTTCTTTGCGTGGAGGCGCGGGCGCGTCAGTGGGCTCGTCTCCGGATCGAGCGGTCCGGATTCGATCCCTGACCGGGTTCATTGCGTTGTGTTCTTGGGCAAGACACTTTACTCTCACAGTGCCTCTCCCTACCCAGGTGTATAAACGAGTACCGGCGAATTTAATCCTGGGGATAGCCCTGCGATGGACTAGCATCCCATCCAGGGAGTAGAAGTAGAAATACTCCCAGTCGCTTCATGCTACAGAAACCGGAGATAAACGCTACAGAAACCGGAGACAATTTGGCCTGAAAAAAAAGCAAAGCAAGCTTTTCGAAAACTTTATGGCTCCTTCTTAAAAAGGAAGTTAACATGAAGCTTAAGTAAGGTGTATCCACAGTGCATTGAAAACTGTTTTTATATTACTGAAGCCGAACAAAACGGTCAGTTAGTATTCCCAACTCCTGCTCTTAGCACTAGCTGAGAAATCCTGTTCTTTACTGCTGGAAGATCAAAGAAGTTAGAGAAACAGGGATGCAAACAGTTTGACGTTTCCGCTGCGATTAACACATGCTAAATGCTCTAGGGTTAGCAAGGCTAATGTATTAATGCTCTTACTTTTAGAGCATCGCCAAATTGAAATAGCACTCAGTCACAAATGACACTCAATTGAAACCACTCTAAAGCGATTCTTAAACAGTGAAAAAGTTGGAGAAGCATGAGAACTTGAACTGTTCGTGTACAATCCTAAATTTCAATTTTAATCTTCTTTTAGTAACAAATCTGATTATGTAGCATATAAGATCATCTTGAGAATAAGGTCTTGTGAAGTTAACAATGTTACTTTTCTGACGAATCGCCTAAGTTTCATAATGAATTCTTGTTTTTGTTGCAAATGGAAACAAGCGATCATAATATGGGAAATGATCCAAAGTAATTGCTTTTTGCTAAAAAATGATCAAACATGTTTTTGTGATAGATATCATCAAAGAAACCGGTGGATGCAATAACTTCCAGCCAATAAGCTGAGCACAGGTATAAGTCTTAATTAGAATGTAACTTATATTCAAATGCTTGCTTTTCATTCGCTTAATTAATTGTACAAGCAATTTTGCAATAATGAAAAGCTATTCCGATAAAGCAAGCAAGGAATATTCTCAACAGACCAACGCGGACACTAAAATCTGTGTCTCTTAACAAAAAATTCAACTATAAATAAGATAATTTTAAAAAAAAAGCTCTCTTAACTTTTATACCATTGCCCGACAGCCAGAGGAATCCTGTAGACGATGTCAGAGGAAAGTGGAGAAGTCTTTTGCAGTCGACATTGGAGCGAAGACACTTATCTTCTTACTTTTTACAGAGTTATTATCTTTTCGTTCATTTTTTTGACGATAACAGCCACTTTTGGTAACAGTTTAATCCTCGTCGCCCTTCACAAGGATTTATCTCTTCATCCGCCATCAAAATTACTGTTTCGCTCTCTGACAATCACCGATCTTTGTGTTGGGGCTATTTCACAACCGTTATTCATCACCTATATCCTTGTGACTGTCAAAGAAAACTTTTCTCTTTGTCGTGTGATTGAACCGTCGATTTTTGTGGTAAACTCTATTTTTCCTGGAGTATCGTTGTTCACACTGACTGCCATTGGTGTGGACAGACTCCTTGCCCTGTTGTTGAGGTTACGATACAGACAAGTTGTAACTGTAAAGCGTGTTCGTGTCGCAGTTTTTCTGTTTTGGCTTACAGGCAGTGTGGTTGGCTTTATCTACTTTTGGAGCACGCATTTGTTTTTCATCGTGAGCGGTGTGCTAGTGTTATTATTTGCTGCTATTTCAACATTTTGTTACACAAGAATCTTTCGTACAATGCAACGTCAACAAATACAAGTACAAGATGCTGTTGGAAGCCAAACCACTGGACTGAACATGGCACGGTACAAAAAGACAGTTTTCAATGCACTGTGGATTCACTTCACGTTAACATCATGTTATCTGCCTTTTACTGTAATTACGGTTATAATAACTGTTGTTGGATTCAGCAAATCTCTTTTTTGGGCTGAAATCTTAACAGTATCTCTAGTTTACGTAAATTCTTCAGTAAACCCATTTCTTTACTGCTGGAAAATGAGAGAAGTCCGTAGGGCGGTAAAGGAAACGGTTAGCCATGTCTACGCAAGTTGTTCATCTTAAAAGCTAAAAAGAAAATGTAAACTATCTCGGCAAAAGAAAGCCAGTTGAACTTCCATCCAGAATTGATACCATAATTCAAGCTGTTAAAAACATCCGCTCGGTGACTGGCGTCCATTTAAAATCTTTTTAAAAGTAAAAATTGGTCAGAGGAGAAATTTCAAACATGGAATACTTGTTAATTTCGTAACAACAGCGTGAAACTCGCATACACCTGCCATTCATCCAATATTTGTTTGTGTAACGGCACGGGGACCTTCATTACTAGCCGCTGTCGTTTGGCGTCATTAATTATCATCCTACATGACCCTCTACACCCGACTGTGCGTTTGTTGGAATTGCTTGCACTACGAGCAAAATTGCAATACCGTTTCCAATTAGGGGGCAACTTGCTCTTCTATTAGGAAAAGTTCAACCTGCCATTTATAGCTACTTATAAGTGAACTGACTGGGGTAAATCTCCTTATCGCCTCTACAAAGGCTCGGCAAAAATGGAAAAACTGAATTTCCATCATCTCTCAAAACACACGATGGGCGCTCTACTATCGCTCTAGAAAGATAAACTAATCAGGCAATGAACAAGAAATCATCAATTCAACCGCTTGTTTAATGACAGGGCTCTTGAACAAGAATGGAGGTATCAAACTGACTTTTCATACACGGCACTTGAGTGGCAAATCAGGAGGGAGGGCCTTGTAATTCCTTTCTTACTTTCCGCCACAAAATTTTAAAAACATGTTCAAAGAATTTGGAGAATAAGCATCTTTGTTTTGCACATCCAATTTGTTATTGTCTCGTCTCCTCGTAGTGGGAGCAACCTTGATAATAACCTTGAATAATAACTTTACAGAGAAGCTTAGCTTTCAACGAAATCGCTCCGTGCTCTATTATTGAGTAAGATATAGTGTTATTCGGACACGTGCGCTTACTCCAGAAGCTTGTTTGCGACTGCACCAGAAGCTTAGCTTTAACAGAATTGGACAGTGCTAATTCGCTAATAATTGCTTCCTCTTTCCATTCCTTTGGTAAACTTTTACGCTGAAATAGCATTAATATTGACACTATGAAAACACGTGCTAGCTAGCAATGTCAACTGCACAATCTTTTTCCACACTAGCAGATACGGCAGTCTTTTGAATATGTCTCGTTCCTTCAATTTCCATTGTTTCTTCGGCGTTCTCGTCATCTTGAGAGGCGCAATTAACATCTCCATTAAAGTGTGCCTGGTTCATGGCATCCATGTCCATGGACACAGAGGTTGCTTGCGATTTGCTGGTTTCCACGTTAAGGTCTGAAGGTTCACCACAGTCAAACGCATGACTGAATATCTGCTGGTCCCAGCCGCTGGTGTAAAGAGTGTCGTCCCCAGGACTCCACGCCAGGCTTCGCACGACCTCTGTGTGTTCATCGCTTCTGAGTCTAAGAGAACAAACAAAACTCATGAAGGAGAAACGTTCCAAAAATACAAGGTATACATGTTACATGTGCAACATCTGCTGCCTGGCACAAGGTGACCTTTTTTTGATACAGACCTCACTGCTTTTGTTGTGTAAATCAAGTTGTTTTTTAATATGCTAACTAGTTCGTATTTTGGGACGTTCGCGCTAAAATTTTGCAGTCGATAGATTTTTTTTAAATTTTTACTGCAGTCAGAAAATGAGTTACTTGGGTCAGAAATGCAAAAAAAATTGGGGGTCACCGACTTCGCTTCAGAGACAAAGCGTGTGGAAAACTACCCTGATTGTGAAAATTCGCGCACGTAATTCAGAATGGTCTACAGGGGTTTATAGTAAAAAGTATCGAAGGTGAGTCAACGGAGGCAAACGATCTTAGTCACATTTTGTAGCAGTGGGTCTGTTGCGTAAATAATTCCAAACGTTGCAGACGTTTTCACAAAACTTAACCCGTCAAGAGGCATTTTAAACCGCCGCACAGATAAACGGAGAGCTAAAAATAACGGAATTCGATGGTGCATTTTGCAAAAATCTCAAAATTCTAATCGATAGATTTTCTTCATTTTTTCGCTAAAAGTAGAAAATCGGTAGAGAAAATGATCCACCAAAAGAAAAATAGGGGTCACCGCACGTCCACGATCGTTAAATCCAGGCAAATATATAGCAATGGCCATCTCCCCTGTCATTGCTCTTGTTATTACTTAGCGCCCGCACCAAGCACACAACTGTAAAATAGCCTGTTTTTAAGCCACCACTGGTACCAGTCCTTGTGCCCATGTCCGAGCAGCATTGACTTCTGTCAGATAACTAGGTAACTACTTACACTGTTGTATCATGGAGGCAATCCTGAACATGGACCCACATATCATCTGAAACTGACGCAAGCCACTCGGGACTAAAAAGAAGAGAACATACTACTTCTTTTAGAGTCAAATCGTTTGTTCTTTCTTTTAAACTAATAAAGGGTAAAATTTGTGTTTTATTTAGTACGAAATAAATCGTCATGGCTTTTTATCAAGACTTTATTATTGGTAAGTCCGTAGAAATGTCACTCCAAGACATAGTATGGGCAGCATTTTTACATGTGATTTACAAAGAAGTAAAAATTACTCCATTCATTAAAACATAAAAATACGTCCGTAGATCGGCAATCAGTAAATCATTCAGTCTGAGTCAGGTGTCAGTGCTCACCCATCTATCTCCTGTCAGTCAGACCTGAACTATACATTACATTGTTTACCTTCTAGGGGAGAAAGCCACTTTGTTTACAGCCCTTTCATGAGGGCAATAAGTTAGAACAGGTTGCTTAGGGTCTTGGATGTTACAGAGGCAAACATATCCATCTTCATAACCTAAAACAGTTGAAAAGAGATCAAAATATGAACAAGTTCAGCTATACATGAAAAGTTAATATAGTACATGAACATCCACAGTTACAAGATACTACCATGATCAGATTAAAACATTAAGATTAAAGTGAAATTTTGTGAGCAACTAGGCCATTTTAATTATGTGTTGAGAGCACCAAAACTTTACCTGCTCGAATAATTATCTATTTAAGTATGTTAGCTCTTTTTGTTTGTGCAAACACAGTCTATCTATCTGATGTGTAGAACATGTAATGGGTGCACTAACAATAGCAGGCACTGCTATTGAAGATGGCACCATCCTAGCTATTTTAGCCAACCTGGGCCTGGACACCCAATCACTAAGTTGTTGATTATATTTGGACAACAATAAAAAAAGTACTTACCAATAGCTAGTAAATGATTGTCTAGTGGACTCCAATCTACACAACGTGGAATGCTGTTGTACTGAGAGGAATCTTTAATAACAAAGAGAACAGTAATTGTGTAAGATATTATTCTCAAAAGCAATCAAAGACTTGAAATTTGATAACTTTTAATTAATAATTGACATTTCCATGATTTGATTAGTCCCCCCTCCCCCACACACACATGTACACACTGGTTTTTTTTTATTTGTTTGTTTGTTTTTTTCATGCCCCACATAAAGCAAGTTGGAAACTGATGGCAGAGATGAGAATGAGTAAGAAAGACACTCATCCAGCTAGATCATGGAGGGTTGTGGGTTCAAATCCCATCTGGAACTTGGAATTTTTTTCTGAGTTGATATGATTTCTACATTCAGTTTTCCTTTATAATACTCAAAGACGTACTCACCCATATAAATATATGATTACTTACATGTCTATACCCATACACATATATGCAAAAAAATGTGCATACATGCAGATTGCATATGCAAAGTTTGGTTATTTCTGAGCTGCATTATACAGTCTGTAATATTTCAGTTCTCTAGGGCTGTAAGTCCTTTTGACAAGGTAGACTCTGTAGTTTGACAGTAGGATGTGGTTTACAGTATACATAATATATTTACTTGAGAAAAACCCAGACAAAAACCATGCTGTTAGAGACGCATGTCTGTTGCATCCACCAAATGAAGACCTCATTATTGTCAGGTGTAAATAGGAATTCTGTTGTACAGCACTGACCTGTTAGTTTAGAAGCCGCTTTGGGTGTTCTTGCATCCCACAGAATAACCCTGCCATCCTAAAATAAGAAAAGAAACATCATCATCCAGATGCAAGAGCATCACTGCACATGTGGGATGTGAAGT